CCAGCAGCCCACAGCGCCTTGTCATGCTCCCATGTCTCAGGTCATATGTCTTCCTCAAAAGTGGCTGAGTCGTCGACCGACCAGCATGGTCGACCACCGCTTGGTGCTCATGCTGTTGTCGATGCAGCCGTCTGTGCAGATGTGCGATTTGCTGATCACATCGTGTATGCGGCTTTGATGACGCGCTTGGTTTGGCTCTTTCGGGTCAGACCTCGTCTCAGATTTGGGCAACATCGGAATGCCATTTCCCCCCATGACTGGTCGAGGACCCGCAAGGCTAGCGGCGTGTTCAACCTTTTCACAATGCCGTCATGCAAGATAGGTCCAACACTTCGAAAACATTCCGAAGGTCAACTTGTCTGGTCGGCGCGTTTGTAGAGTGTGGGAGTGGAGTTTTTTGGGTATACATGTTGGGGAACTGCTGTTATTGCGTAGAGAGCAACCTGACAACACATGATGGTTGCTGTCGTCTGTGGCGATTCTGCTGTTTTGCAGGATGTTGTTGACGATGAAATTATGATGGTTATGATGGTAACGGCGAGGATGAAGAGGAAGGGGGCAAAGAGAATACGGAGGACGAAAAGGAGGTTAGTTTCTATTCTCGGCGTTTCCCTCCTCGGCCCTCTTCTCCGTATCCTTCCCTTCCTCTCCTCTCGTCCCGCCTCTTTCTTTCCTCCCCTCGTTCTCTTCCGCCCCCTTCCGTCCTTCTCCCTCCTCCCTGCTCCCTCCCCCCTCCCTCTCCCTGGCCCGGAGTTGCACGCAGGTGCCCTCCAGCCCCCTACAACGCCTCCTTCCCCCCTTCGTCCCCACGGATACCGGGGGGTTGAGTTTCCAGCGTCCCCGTCCAGAGGAGGGAGGCACCCGACCGCCGCCCGTGCGGCGTGCGGCAGTCTGACCACAGCATAAGCGTCCGCCTCCAGGCTGTGCCCGACCACCTCCCTCACCCTGGCCTGGAATTCCGTGGGCGCCCCCCCGCCCTCCTACGTCGCCGGCCCCGCCTCCGCCCGCCGCTCTCCAGGCGGCCTCCGCCCACCGCCGCCGCCGCGCGCGGGCGGCCCACCGCCCCCCCCTCCGGCCGCCGCACTGATGCCGCCGAGGCCGAAAGCCTCCTCGCCACACGAGGCGCCCGCGCCCGCGCCCACTGCGTTGCCAGCAGCGCGTCCACGGGGCCGCGGTTCGTCGCCACGAGGGAGGGCCGCGGGACCCAAGCGCTGCAGTGTTTGCACCGCACGCTTCCCCGCTCGGTATTGGGCTCCAGGGCCACTGCGGATCGATCCAGTGCGAAAAATGCAGCAGGAAGATGGGATTTTGGGCTCCGCGGTCGTGACCTTTCATTCTGCTGTACAGTCGGACCGAGGTATGAGATCGAGGTCGGTTCGGGGAGGGTACCCTGATGTTCTTCGTGTTTGTTGGATGTTCTTTCGCATCCTGGGTAGAGTGTCCTTGGATGTTCTGTGTGTTCTGTCCAGCGGAGGGTCCCATGTTCTTGAAGGATGTTCTTGAAGGATGTTCTTCTCCCCTAACCGAATTTTGCCCGCGACGTCGGATATCGGAGGGCTCTGGGTGTTTTGTTTTTTTTGCGCTTGGGGCTTCAAGGGGTGGTCCAGAGTCCATGGAGAGCCCCGTGCGTCCGTGGCCCGCTTCCGCCTGGGTTCCCTTTCTCTCGTGCCTGGGGAGTGCGCGGGCATTCGGGTTTGGTGGGAAGGGAGGGGGTCGGATGGGGGCAGGACGAGGAGAAAAATCCGTTCCTCGAGCGTTCCAAAACGCTTTCAGAATGTTCCAGAACGCTCCGAGAAGGCCGCGGCGCCCGATACATCCTCCAGAGCCGCAGAGAATCTTGACCTTTTCTCGCCCGAAGTTATCATCGTCCTGGCTTCGTCTTAGGGGGGTAGCAGGGCAGAGGGGAGGGGGTTGGCGGCCACTGCTCCCTGCGCCCTTGTGGCGGCCTCTCGGGTGTCCAGGGGGGCGGTGGCGCAAGTGGCCGGGTGCCCGCAGGGGGGTGGCGCGACGGGGCGCGAGTTTCTCTGGGGAGGCAGGGGCTGAGGGCCCAGCGGCGTCTCAGAGGGTTTGGTAGAAACCTAGACGGGCTGCAAGAGGGCCTGCCCTCCTTTTAGACCCTGCCCCCCGCGTTCTCCCAAACGCGCCCCCTCCGTGCCACCCACTTGTGCGTGCCGCCAAGGGTGGAACGGATGGGGGGATGGTCTTCATGTTCCCAGCTAGCCCGTCTTGGGTTCTCGTGTTGAATAGAGCGCAGTGGTCTCCACTTCTCCTCTATCCCTTCTCCTCCCTCCTCCTCCTGCCTCGCCCCCCCTTGTCCTCATGCCTTCTGCCTCCTTGCTTTCCTTGCTCGTACCTCCTTTCCTACTGGCGGGCTGCGATCTGCGAAGCTGTCGCCACGTCCGTGGTCTCGTGGGAGGCCCAGTAGAGCGACGTCTGACGCAGACCACCATGAGATCTCGCCGTCCCTGGTGGGCTGCGATCTGCGAAACTGCCGCCAGTTTCGTGGGCTCTTGGGAGGCCCAGTAGAGTGCATTCCTACGCATACCACAACTTTACGTCGCCGTCATGGTACTCCCAGAAGGATCTTGTGACTTGGGGTTGCTGGAGTCCGTCTTCAGCGAGTACGCGTGCGTCCCCACACTGCGACTTCACCGCGGCAGATTTCTTTGGATTCCGGTATATTGCAAGTTTCACGTGGCGGCCAGACAAGATATCCTGAGATGCGCGCCAACTTGGAGCGACTTTATCGTCGTCGACCAGGCCAAGTACCTCGGGATCTACATGGGTCCTGGCCGGGAACACCTTTGTTGGACATGCGCAGTTCAGATGTTGCACGAGAGGGGGAAGCTATGGTGTTCTACCGGCGGAGGTATGTTGGCTTCCATAATCGCTTACCACGTGTCTATTTTTTCTTTGGCGAGATTCTTGATGAACCTCGAGGGTTTACCGCCGGATTGAGACGACCCGGAACGCGCGTTGTGCAAGGGCCTCTTCACAGGACCTCGGGGTTGGGACCCCCAGCAGCGTTGGGTCACCTGCAGGCGCTTCGTTTCCCTCAGAGCTCCCGGACGCTCGAGCTGCGTCCTGGGCGGCGAAATGCCGGGTTTTTTGTTGGGAATGCTTGGAATCTGGCGGCCTCCATGTCGGCCGGCGCTCGTCGTCGTTTTCGGTCTCCTGTCCGTCCCTCTTGGGGTCGGGTCGACGGTCCGCGGCCGCCCCGCCGATCAGCGCTGCCGCTGGCCAGGCCGACGGTCCGCGGCCGCCCCGCCGCTTGCCGGGGCCCGGCCTGCAGGGAAGAAAGGTCTACCCCCCAAAAGGGGTTCGATCGAAGACGAAGAGGGCGGGTATCGAGGGTTTGGGAAATACGCGTTATTGGACACTTGAGCATATAAGGGCGAACAGTCTTAAAATTATTATTATTTATTATTATTATTATTGTTGTTGTTGTTGTTGTTGTTGTTGTTGTTGTTGTTGTTGTTGTTGTTGTTGTTGTTGTTGTTGTTGTTGTTGTTGTTATTGTTGTTGTTGTTGTTGTTGTTGTTGTTGTTGTTGTCGGTTTTGGTGTTGGTCTTGGTCTTGGTCGTCGTCGTCGTCGTCGTTGTTGCCGTTGTGGTTGCTGCTGTGGCCGTTGTTGTTGTGGGTGCTGTTGTAGTCGAATACCGATTTCTAAGTAATATTTATTGTTGACCTCCGGAAACGGTTCCGCGCGCTCTTGCTTCGACGCCAGCTACATTTTCTTTGAAAAGCAGGCTCCCGCTCGAGTGTTGGCTTGACCCAAAATGTGGGCCCTTGGAGGCCCAGCTACGACAACAGCGGCTCCCGCTCGATACTGTCTCACAATTTATCCTGAGACAGCCTGGCCAGAGAGGCCCCCGAACTCATGAACGGCGCTCTCGCTCGAGACTTCCTCGCCATTCAATTGAGATGGCTGAGGCCCAGCTACGACTACAAGGGCTCCTGCTCGATACTTCCTCACGATCTATTATGAGAGCCCCTGGCCAAGAAGAATGTCCCTAAACTCAGGATCGGCGCCCTCGTTCGAGACTTTCCCGTAATTCAGGCAAGTTGGTGGAGCCTCGGACACCGCGACAAGGGCTCCCGTTCGACATCTCTCCCTAGGTATTCCGAGAGCCCCTGGCCAGAGAGGCTCGCGAACTCAGGGACGGCGCTCTCGCTCGAGACTTCTTTCAGTGGCCGACAAGGAAGAGATTCCCCCCGAAAGGGGGTGCAATCGAACACGAAGTGGGCGGGTATCGAGGGTTGGGGTATATGGAATGCAAGGCACGCGTGCCAGTAAGAGCGAACAGTCTTCAAATGATTATTGTTGTTGATGTTGTTGCTGTTGTTGTTGTTGTTGTTGTTGTTGTTGTTGTTGTTGTTGTTGTTGTTGTTGTTGTTGTTGTTGTTGTTGTTGTTTTCGTAATCGTGGTTGTTGTTGTGGTTGTTCTTGTTGTTGTTGCTGCTGTTGTTAATGATTTTGTGGGGTTGTCGTTGAGGTTGTAGCTGTGGGTGTCGGTGTCTTTGTTGTTCTGGCTATGATTATGGTTTTTGTTGTTGTTGTAGCTGCTGCTGCTGCTGCTCCTGTTGTTGATAATGGTGATGGTGATGGTGGTGGTATTGGTGATGATCATGCTGCTGCTGCTGATGGTGGTGATGATGATGGTGGTGAGGAGGAAGAGGAATATATGGGTGATGCGGGATTTCATGGGTAGCACGAGCGCGAGGATGGGGAAGTGGAGGAGAAGAAGACCAGGTGGAAGGAGAAGACAGGAAGGGGATGAGGGAGAAGGGAAGATGGGGAAGATGGAGGGAGGGATGAGTAAATTCCGAGTGGTGTCCACGGTCCGCTTGTCAAACGTGGCACTTTCGGTGACTGAGGGGATGGGCAGGGATGGCACTTGGAGGAGTATGGTACGCTGGTGGATGGGAAGATGACGGAAGAGGTGGAGGGGAAGAAGGCGTACGCAGGTGGACGGGAGAACACAGGGGGAGGCGGGAAAGGAGGGCCCGTGCAGTCTGCCGAGTTCGCGCTCGAGGCGGGACCCTCAGCCACAGCCGTGCTGTTCGCGGAACTGCGCGACGGCTCCAGCCATGGGAGAGCCGGCGACCAAGAAGGCCAAGACCGAGCGCACCTTCCTGTTTTCGTCTGAGTCCGTGAACGAGGGCCACCCGGACATCACGGTCAGAATCGTTCGTTCCCTCGTTCGCAAGCCACGTCGGATGGCACATCGGTTCAGCAGGGGAGAATACCAGTCACGCAGGAAGCGGCAATATGAGGGCTGGGGTTTACACTCAAGCATTTTTGGGATAAGTGGGAAACCATACTGTTTGACAATTGCCTTCCACATTATCTGTCCATGCATTGTAGAACGTGGGTGCCTGAATATTCCCTTCAAAGCTTCATCAGGGGGGAGGGAGCGTGGCGGGAGGGGAGGAGGCGGGGCAGTGAAATAATTGCCACTCAAGGTGGGACAGTCACGTTGGCAACTAGGGCTGGTCGAGCTAGCGGGGGCTGGTCGGCTGCAGTTAGGGGCTGCTGGGCATGCTTTGTGCAAGTGTGGGGAGCCAGAGCAGGTGGCAATCGGGGCTGTGTGGGATAGTGGGTGCTTATAGCGACTGGTGTCGGGAACCAGCGTCGGCGGCAGTCAAGGCTTCTGTGTGGACCCAGCGTCAGTGGCAAGCAGGGCTTGTGGAGGTATTGTGGGCAATCTGGTGGCCTTCCGTCTGGTGCAAGGCTCTATCTGAGCTGACCTTCCGCCCATCCCGCCACCGTGCCTGGGTTGTGGGGTAGATGTCTCGTGAATGCCTGTTGGGTCTCTTGGGACGCCTCTGGGGGGCATCCAGGGGGCGGTTTTGGCGCCCCTGGGGGGCTTCTCGAGGGACTCCAGGGGGGCCCTGTTGGGTCTCTTTGGGGCCCCCTGGGGCTTCCGGGGGGCTTCTTGGGGGCCTGCTTGCGGTCTCGCGGGCTATCTTGGGACGGAGGGCCTGAGCTGTCAGTTCGAGTTCCCCTTTTGGGCCCTTGTGGGGCCGTCTCGGGGCCGTCTTGGGGCCGTCTTGGGGTCGGTCGTCTTGGGGGCCTCCAGGGAGCCTCTGTTTGGTCTCTTTTGGGCCTCCTGGGGCTTCCAGGGGGCTTCTTGGGGGCCTGTTTGCGGTCTCGGGGGCCATCTTGGTACGGAGGGCCTGAGCTGTCAGTTCGAGTTCTCCATCTTGGGCCCTTCTGGCGCCGTCTTGGGGTCGTCTTGGAGGCCTCCTTGGGCCGTCTTGAAAGTCCTCACCTTCGCTCTCTTTGCCTTCCTTTTCGCTTCCATAGCATCGCGTTTAGCCCAACATACTTAGAAGGATAAGGCGCAGCCAACCCGATGCGGCCGCCTCCCACCATCCCTGTCAAAAACAATACAAAGTACACTTGGCGGCGGCGGCGGCGGTGACGGCGGCGGCGGCGGTGGCGGTGGCGGCAGCGGCTGCGGCGGCAGCGGCTGCGACGGCGGCGATTTGGCAGCGGGGGCGGCGGTGGGCAGCGGCGGCGGCGGCGGCTGCAACGGCGGCGGCGGCTGCGGCGGTGGCGGCGGCGGCGGCGGAGGCGGCGGCGCGGCGGATTGGCCCCCAGTAGCTGCCCATCCAAAGACGGCTACTGAATATGCTGAGGCTCGGGCCAGGCTCGGGTGCTACGTATGTGTTGGGAGGGCGGGTGGGAGTCAGCGAGAAGGCTTGCGGACGGGGAGGGAGTCTTGACCCCTCCCCCTGCCCCCTCCCCTGGACCTGGACGGGGCGCCCCGCGAGCGGTCAGGGCGTCCAACACGGCCTCGGCGAGGGAGCCACAATTATTGGTTTTCCCACGGTTCTGGTCCCATTTTGACCTTCCGGGGGGGCGACGCTAATTAAGGGAGCCCCCTTCTTTGACCGATGTCCTCCGAGATGGCCCCACGAACGCCCCCAAGGCACCCAAGGGTGCCCCAAGAGGGCCCCAAGAGGTGGACAGGAGAAAAAAATATGCCCCCAAGAGGCCCCCAGGATGCCCCCAAACGGCTCCCAAAAGACCTTCAAGATGCCCCAAGAGGCCCCCAGAGGCACCCAAGACGCTCCAAGAGTCCTCGGCGATAATGCCCAAATCATTAATTTTACTAAGGTTTGGGCTTGCTTGTGCCTCCCTGGGGGGGCACTGATTAAGATGACTCCGAGAGCGCCTGGGGGAGGCCAAGATGAGCTCCAAGATGGCTCAAAATACCCCAAGATGCCTCAATATGCCCCCCACGACGCTCCAAGAGGCCCCGAAACCGCTCCAAGACGGCTCCAAATGGCCAGAGAGCCCCCCCAAGAGGTCCCGAAGAGGCCCAAATCCTTCCAAACCTCGACTTCTCGCCTTTGGGTTTCTCGCCTTCGCGGTTCCGATGGCCATCCGAGGCTTCAAGATGGCTCGAAGATGGCCCAAGAGGGTTCCAAGAGCGCTCCCAAGGCTCCCAAAAACGCTTCAAGAGGGCCCCAAGAGGCGCCCAGGAGGCCCCTGGAGGCCCAACAGGCGCCCAAGAGGCTTCCAAAAGGCTCCCAAGAGACCCCCAAGAGGCCCCAAGAAACTCTGCGAGGCACCCAAGACGCTCTCAGAGGCGCCCGGGGACGCCAACAGGTCCCAAGACGCTCCTGGAGGCCTCCACTGGGGGACCCTTCCTCTGTGTGCTGCCCACTTCCCTGATCGAGGCAATTCCTCTGGGCATCGTTTCTGGATGGGCTGGTGGGGTTGTGCGAATCGTCTAGAATTTCGATTGTCAGACGAAGAACAGTGTACCAGCCGAAAGTGTGGTGGAGAAAATTTGACGCAGTGTGTTTTGGTGACCGTCACTGGACTTGTAACGCAAAAGGGTCGGAGTAACTGGCGAGAGTGAGAAGCTGGACGAATTTCTAGGTTATCTTGTCAGGGAGATACTGTCCGATGGTGTGTGTCATGAAGCGTGTGACATGGTCAGTCATCCCAGGAAAAGGACCCACGGCTGCGAAAACGCTTCCAGAGATTGAGAGAAATTCTCAACGGCATTCAGAGCAATGATCGGCAGTATCCACTAATGACCGACCTATGCCGGGGAACGCAGCAATAATCGTAATACATCAGAAGAGCACTTCGTTCGAGTGGAAAGTGGTGCCTTTTCGTCAGGGGGCGGCGTGAAAACCCCGTTGGAGCGCATGCCGCGGCGTATGGGACGGATATCCCGTTTGTCCATCATGCTGAGACTCTACAGGCTTACGCCACATCCGCCGACCCCTTCTGTGAGTGTTGCGAGGCCAGGAGTTTCTGGCCAGCGGCGTCTTGTGTGAGGGTGCGGTGTCGCGCGCGGGTGGTGGCAGATACGTAGGGGGTCCAAATGTTTGCGTGATGCCGGTGGTCTGGGGCGTGTTTTGCGAGCGCTTTGCGTGCTGCGCACCCGGGTGCGGGGTGTCCTTCTGGGAGGTCGGCCTTTCGACCCGCAACCAAGTGGAGGAGCACTGGAAGACGAAAGGAGCAAGAGTAGCGTGTGGAAGCTGTGATCAGCGAAGCATCGCAGCGAAAGATGTGGCAGATGAATCGAAACGGGTGAAGAGGCTGTTGACGTTCGCAGCGCGCACGAAACAGTTCGCGCGGCAGCAGCACATTAGCGCCGAGCAAGATAGTGAGCACGTCGCGAGGAAGAGTAAGGTTGATGCGCGGAGTGCATTGCAGTTGGCGAAAGGGCTCGCAATACGGAAGCGTCTGGGGGTCTTTTGGGGGCCTCCTGGGGGCCTCTTGTGGGCTCCTTGGGGCGTCTTGGCGGTTTCTTGAGGGCCGTTGGCGGCCTGTTGGGGCGCTCTTGGGGCCCCCTGGGGCTCGTGGGGGCGGAACGCTAGATTTTTGAATTGTTGGTTGCCCTCTTGGGCCCCTCTTGGTGCCGTCTTGGAGCCTTCTTGGGCCGTTTTGGGGACCCCTTGGGCCGTCTTGGGGCCATATTGGACCGTCGCGGGGCCGTCTTGGGGGCCTCTTGGGCCGTCTTAGGGCGGTTTTCGGGGCTTCTTGGGCCGTCTAGGAGCGCCGGAAAATCCAGAAGGCGGATGTGTGAACATTGTACGTTTCACGACGGGAATACGTACATGTCTGCGTCCAGGGACCGTCATGGGACGCATCTTGGGGGCCTCTCAGGGGCGTGTTGGGCCATCTGGAGGCCATTTCGGGTGTCTTCGATCGCTATTGGACCGTGTGGGACCATGTTGAGCTCTCTTGGAAGCCACTTGGAGCGCTCTTGGGGCCGTCATCGGGGCTCTCTTGGGCCGTCTTCGGCGCCGCTTGAGCCGTCTCAGCGCCTTGTTGGGCTGTCTTGGGGCCCTCTTGGGGGCTTCTTGGGCCGTCTTGGGGCGGTCTTGGGGGCCTCTTGGGCCGTCTGGGAGCGTCGGAAAACCCGAACGGCGAATTTGTGGAAAAAACGCACGCTTTACGAAGGGAGCGGGCTAATTTTTGCGTCTAGAGGCACTCTTGGGACGCATCTTGGATGCCTCTTGGGGCCTCTTGGGGGCATCTTGGGCCGTCAGGAGGCCATCTTCGGTGTCTTTGATCGCTCTTGGGCTGTCTGGGACCATATTGAGCTCTCTTGGAGGCCACTTGGGGCGCTCCTGGAGCGCTCTTGGGGCCCTTTTCGGGGCCCTGTTGGGCCGTCTTGGACGCTTGTTGGGCCGTCTTGGGGCCCTCTTGGGCTATCTTGGGACCCTCTTGGGGGTTTCTTGGGCCGTCTTGGGGCGGTCTTCGGGGCCTCTTGGGCCGTCTTGGAGCGTCGGAAAGCCCAGAAAGCGAATTTGTGAGAATTATACGTTTTACGAAGGGAATGGGCCAATTTTTGCGTCTAGGGACCCTCTTGGGGCGCATCTTGGACGCCTCTTGGGGCCTCGTGGGGACCTCTTGGGCCGTCTTGGAGGCCTCTAGGCTCGTCTTGGGGCCATGTTGGGCGTGTGGGAGCGCTCGTTTGGCGTCTCGGGGCCCTCGTGGGCCGTCTTGGAGGCCTCTTGGAGCCTTCTGGGCCCGTCTTGATCCCCTTTTGGGCCCAAAAGAGCCCCGTGGCGCGCTCGTGCTGGGCCCGGGGGGGGGGGGGTCAAATCTCCGGTTTGGGGTCCCTGGGGGGGGGGATTATGGGGGGGGAACTATCTCACGCGCCTAGAGACCCACAAGGGGTCGGCGGATTGAAAAT